CCATGCTGCATAGCAACTCGAAGGTGCGTAATGTACTACATCCGAAGGTAAGTCGTCGTCTGTGGCCTTGCCCAGCCGCACTTTGCATTTCGCGCCTCCAAGAAGTAAGTTGCGGTACTATAAGCTCATCAAGAGAGGATCCGGCCCACGTTGTAGTGCTATGTGTAGTTGGATGAGGTCGGATTAGCGTACCATGTTGGAACTTAGTATACAAGTTTTTAGATTACTATGCAGTGTAATCATGCTAGTCGTTGTCGTACCCTTCAATATATTGAATCTATCGTACAAGCAACTGGAATCTGAAAAGACAAAACGACAGCCTGAATGGCGAGCAAATAATGAATGACCGCCGCTACGGACCCTGCCTACTAAGGCAGCTAATGGCTGCTGGTTAGCAGGGGACTTATCTTTTTAGACTAATGGACTAATCTCGCTGGTGAGGGATAATTTAGCTCGCTTAACGCCAATTCGCAGGGGGAGTTTTTCCTGATGATCCCGGCGTCAAGATGGCGAGCTCGCGGAACGAGCGCCACAGGTCCCGCCCCCCCGACGGATACCCGCGCCCTTATCTACCCCTATTTAGCTACGTATATAAGCCTTATTGTATCTACTGTGTACGGCACGCGTTTGCACCGGCCAAACGCGAATCCCATTTGTGCCCGCTTGCCCTCGAACTTCTTCAGAACCTTCAAGAGAACCTCGGTGGCCCCGATCCTCGGGATCGGGGCTTCCGCCAAGGTGAGGTCCTGGATGCCATCTGTTTTGGGGAGGCGGTATTCGCGCGTCTTCTGTGGAATGGACATGGTGCTCAGGTTCATTTGAATCGCGGTGAGAAGGGGAGGGAAGAGCACTGTTCAACAGAGCTTGCTCTGTGGGTCCTTATATGGCGTCATGGCATGCTCTTGTGTGATCCTGGGCCGTGATCAGTTCTGCAAAGACAGACTGAACATGGACATGCTATGTCGCATGTCCGCGACTAGTGTTCGCAATGAACAGTTTGTGAGACCGCAGTGAGACCTTCAGTACAGTGGATATACCGGTGTCCGGTCTAACGGCCATTCACCGTAAACTGAAGCAATGATTTGTAAGCAGTTGTGCAGAGAGAATAGCACAAACCTGAGTCTTCCGAGAACCGGCGATTATGCTTTGTTCTCGTGCCCAATCTGGGTCCTCCACTGATTAGAAATGCCATAAATGGAGGCCCCACCGTCAGCGTCCGTGACGTGCTGAACTTCTCTATTACTGAGCCTCTCTATGCAATGGCACGTCCACTGCAGAACCGCTAAGGCCGGGGTGGGCTACAGGGTGCAGATGTGGATTTTCCCTGACATGACCGGTAGACCGGGGGTGGATGTAACGGTAGTCACGGCCATGTAACATTGTGACACAAGCGCTTCGGGAGGTTATCTACGTGTTTTGGACAATGATTATTGTCTAGGGTCTATGACAGCGTAAATCGTGCCACCCCCTCGCCGCTTTACATCTGCTTTGTCTCTAGTAATATATAGGTTAAGGGTTGGCAGCCCAGGATCCTCGTCCCCTCGCCCTTCGGGGGCTCGCGCTCCTCGAGCTTTCGTTTTTGCACCCGCCCTTCCGCTGCCCCATTTTTGGTTTCGCTTAGGGCCTGTTCGGCAAAGAGTTGGAATTAGAGTTACTGGCATTTCATGCCCAAATATAGTAATCATATCTCGGTTTTCAATCTCGAGAGAACTCGAGTTACTCAGGCGAGTGCATGCGTTCGGATGCCTCCCAGTAACTCCGGGCGGTTGTTATCAGAGCTCACGCGCACGTCGTAACTTGTCTCGAGGCTCTACCCTTTTGACAGCCTGCTTGATTCTCTCTTTCTAGAGTATTGGGATGGCTACCATGATCGACGTGGAATGTGATCAGACATCTGAGGCCATCCTACTTGAGGCCTGAGGGATTAGAGCAGCTACTACCGAGGCCTGCCTAGTCAAAACAATGACAGTTACTGCTATTATAGCCTGTCTTCGGCGCTCTATATGAGCCCGATATTAGGTTGGTGAATTTTGACAGCTGCTCTTGTGCAGACCATGGTGAAGCAGGGATGAAGCAGAGCCCATCTGATAAGCCATAGCTATTGGTATACATACTACTAGATACATGTACGAGTTCAGGGCGCTTGTCTCCTCCGGATTTCACGGATACTCTGCCCCTGTAACTCTAACTCGCGCAGAAATCCTCGGAAGTGTCGCCACGTGACAAAATGCCGGTGACTCGTAACTCCAACTCTTTGCCGAACAGGCCCTTAGCTACGTCTCATGTATCAGGTACATTCGCCTTCCGCCGGCTTGACTCGGCCAAAATATCGAGACTGTTGAGTCCGGCGAGTCTGCCGGAGTCTGGCGGACTCCGGGGATCACATGACGTTCTCGGGAAGCACCCTTGGCGCCCAGACACCTAGACCTCATCTCGGTAATCTATGACTACCTCATCGACTCGCCCCCGCCTATTGCCTGCCCATACGTATTATATCATATTGCATAGCGTAGAAGTCGATTCTTATGCTATCTTCGATCTACATGCATGGTTACCTGGAGGTCGCTCCCGCAAGTCTGGGGTATTGAGGTTTTCGACGCTGTTTATTCATTGACACCACCTTGCATGGGGACGGATTATAGTCGGAAGGCAATTTTTGTAGAGGCCCTCTTCGGAGAGCTAGTGCTAGCACCCATCAGAGGGAAGATCACCTGACACCCTGCCGCAAGGATTGGCTACTTCACACAACATCATGTCATTGAGCTCC